GCTGATGGGCCTCTTGGCTCGTATGCAGACTCTACCTTTATTTAAGTAAATAAAAGCAAAGAAGGACAGAAATCTGAAAGCGTTAAATCACTGGATTCAGTTACTAAGTAAAAAGAAAGGAGAACAAAATCTTATGCATTTGTATGCACTGTTGACTGTACATTGATCACCCTGTTAGGTGGGCAGTCATTGTTGGTTCCACGGTTGTTTTAAGAAGTATTGTGACGGTTCCCTTGGCAGTTCACCAAAACAAACTCCTTACTACAATTGAACTATCCCAACCGACACTTCAGATGATGACTGAGGCTTTGAAAGTGAGAGTGGCTGGAGAGGGCCGAAGGATGAATCTATCAGCTGAGCAGGCACATCGAAAGTTCAGAAAAGAAGTAAGTGCTGTACATTTAGTGTCTCTTGAAAATGTTGAATCAAAAAAATAATAGCCTTGTAATAATTTTGATGTTAATGAATTAGTGAGAAAAGATAAATAGTACACGTAATAGGAGTGAGTGGAGTTTCATTCGGCCCGTAATCATCAGTAACTTAAGATGACCATATTGCTGAAGTTTAATTTGTTTCTAATAATAAATTAATTTAAACAAATTAAATTTAATTAATAGTCATTACAGGTAGTCACTTCATGCTACAGAAACCAGAGATACATGCATGTAAGCACTGGCCTGGTGGGCCACTTGGCTCCTGTGCAGACTTTATCTACAGACAGAAATATAGGAACATGCATAGTCCTGTTACCTGTTAATCAAAACCATCTATAATAACAAAATTTGATACTCTGTATAGCCATTAATCTATAACTATAAAATAATTATTAACATCATCAGGTAATGGGTAAAATTTATAATAATTGAGTTTGTTTCTGACCAAGAAACACAAGAAAGGAACTTATCCAAGTCCATCTGTGCAAAAAAAAATGGCATGCACAATAAATTATGACACATACACAGACTCTACTGTCCTGTTACATACTAGATGCTCACTCTGTTAAAATTAATTACATGGTGCAGTCACATGCATGATGCAGACACTGTGACCGCCCAATTTGGGCTTAATTGAGCCTGCTGATATCCAGGAATCAAATATTAATGAATTTCCTTTTAGTGAATTATCTAGGGCTTCTAATTATTCTGCCAAAAACCTTCAGTACAAGTTACTGTCAAACCATTGGCCTACCCTGTCAGTGGGGGCTTTNGTGGAGTTTCATTCGGCCCGTAATCATCAGTAACTTTAGATGACCACATTGCTGAAGTTCAATTTGTTTCTAATAATAAATTAATTTAAACAAATTAAATTTAATTAATAGTCATTACAGATAGTCACTTCATGCTACAGAAACCAGAGATACATGTAAGTGCCGGCCTGGTGGGCCACTTGGCTCCTGTGCAGACTTTATTTACAGACAGAAATATAGGAACATGTGTAGTCCTGTTACCTGCTAATCAAAACTATCTATAATAACAAAATTTGATACTTATAGCCATTAACCCATTGACACCTGAATGAAATTGCCCACGACCCACCCCTAATTCCCTGGCGTTTTTTGGAATATTTCTGAGCGAGCGAAAGCACAAAAATAAACCATATGCGCAGTAA